GTAGAAAGACAGAGGCCAATGTTGACGGCAACCCCCGAAAGCCTTCTTGGGAGCTCCCGAGAATCCGCTCCCTCATAGTGGTCCAGCCGATAAGAAATCCTGCGAATTCCCGTCTTCCCCTCGAGAAATCTTTGATTATCGATGAGAGGACCACTCAACTAATTTTTTTCATGGAGAGAGGACCCATCACATGAGAACGACGACCCTCATATGACTCTCCTGAAGCTCCCGAGAACCCACCCCTAAATTTTTGCGGCGATCGGTCCAGGCGTTTGTGAATTTTGCGAATTTCGGATTTTTGCCATTTTTTTCCGAGTTTTCGTATTTTCGTCACCGGAGGACTCAAATAATTTTTTTAAGGTAGGAGGACTCATCGCATCGGAGAACTGACCCCCCTATAACCACCGCGGGATCGCCCAGAACACGCTCCTAAATTTTCACGACGCCGACGATCGGTTCAGCCGTTTTCGAGTCTATAGGTGACACCAGACAGACAGACAGACAGACAGACAGACAGACAGACAGACAGACAGACAGACAGACAGACAGACAGACAGACAGACAGACAGACAAACAGACAGCCAAACAGACATACGTTTTTATATATATGGATTTTTTTCTCCTTCTCAATGATTTTCTTCTGGGATGAACACGCTCCTTGGACGAGGTTGCACACCCGCCGCCTCCTCGGTGTCCACTTCCGTGCCGTAGACTGGCGTCGAATATCTCGGCTGGATCATCGACCTGCATACTGGGCAGCGATCCCCATTCGGTCCCAGCGTCGTCCAGCGGTAAAGGCAGGGCCAGCACGCAAAAGGCCCGCATGACGTGATGACTGTGGAGCATGGCGACAGGTCCTACGTGAATCTTGATTGAACGACCGAGGAGGAGTTTAGTGCAAGTTTAGTTTCGTCTCTTGGAGATAGAGAACACAGATGTTTCGTTCGGTATCATCGAAGCACTACTGAGTGCGCGGATTTTATTTCTGTCACCAGGTGGGGCTTTGATCGGAAGCGCTAAAATTGAAAGTTGTCATTCACGCATCTCGTTTGACCATCATACAATTGACAATGGCCGCATTCGTCGCCTCCTCCAAACACACGACGCACTGCCAGCGGGTCCCTCGGTCGACTCTCACCGGCCCTTCTGCCTGCGCCTGCTCTTCCAGCTGGAGTGGTGCCTGCACATCTTCTTCCGCCTGTGGTGCCTGTTGCACGACTATCTGTACCGAGACATTGGCGCGTCCCGCTTCCAGAATCGCCTGGAGGAGGCTAGTCGCTTCTCTCGACTGATCCTCCTGCTGAGGGACTGGCGGCACCCCTTGCTGCCGTTCCTCCGGTTGTGCTTCCGGCCGCCGCGAAACCACCGCTCTCGGTCTGGCCCCCCGATATACACTGCATCACGCGCACGGCATCGCGGTGAACCGCTCGGATGTCTGTTGTCTCCGCAGTTGGCGCATACCCCTTGTTGCATCTTCGTTGTGGGGATGACAAAGGTTGTCGGAGAGTTGAGGTGACCGTCTCCGAGTAGTGGTGTTGTACGAACGATCAGCCTATCCCTTGCTGGTCGCCTGACCGACGTTCTTCTCGATCCGCTAATGGTTACGATTTTCCGATGCCAGCGCCGAGATCGAATTTCGGAAGTGCCTCTAGCGTTTTTCAACGTTTACCCGTCCTCGATAAGCCGTCTGATGACCTGATTGTCTTCTTGAAACGTGCCGAACTTAACACCATGCCTTTTTAAAAACCCGCTCGGTCTCGCAACTGATATGTCGTCCTCGACATCACTGAGAATATTTTCTTTGGAAACTAGTAATCCCCCTCGTACGCTGCCTAGCCTGACTAGAGCCTGCCTCTGATAATTCTGATCTACCTGGAGATTCCATTATCGCCGTGTTTAGATCTCTTATTGGCCTTCTACCTCGTCCTAACAGGCCTGAATAACCGGCTGGATTTACATTGATTTGAATCTCCGCCGACGATCCTGATGACGATGATGAAATTTCTATCGGTGACGATGCCTCTTCGCTCTGAATCGTTGAGCCTTCCTTGAGCCTCGTTGATTCTGGCTCGTTTTATGGATGTTTACTGTCACAAGAACATTAATCTCTGTACCATTATATTTTCTGGAACTAGTTTTCCTCTGTACGAGCCTATGGAGCTCTGATAGTATAGAAGCACCTCCGAAATAAACATCAGACACAGATTCTTCTGACACACACGAACCCTGCGTCCTCATTCCTGAGAGCATCTTCCCTACGAGACCTCGCCCCTCGGAGATCATCTGAACCCTGTGCCGAATCAACTCTAGACTCTTGGACCGTGGACTTCTACTGACTGAGCACCTTCTCAGTGAGCCAACGCTCAGGATCCTCACGGATTCCCAACATTCGTTATCAGCACGAGTGAACTCCACAGGAAACTCCACACAAGAGTTTAAATCACCGAGGTGAGTCAAGAGGTCTCTAACGCTCTTGAATGATGCAGCGCGTCACCGCCATCACGCTGAACGTCGATGGAAGCGATACTCCGGAGATCCGCTTCAACCCTGCCATGGTCCTCACATTTCATCGAAGGACCAAACACATTGAGGTGAGATACTTCTACATAAGAGAACAGCTGGAAGCAAAACAGCTCTCGGTAACCTTCGTCCCAACGTCTGATCAACTAGCGGATCTTTTCACAAAGCCGCTCAACAACACAATCTTTCTCAAACCGAGGAACTAACTCGTGAGTAAGAACCCAAACTCTACGAAGTAATCATCGAATTGATCAACATGAGCAGCTCAATCATATTCACCGTTCTACTCGAACGCACAGGAGTTGACTATTTCTCCTATGGAGACTGCTTACAAGTGAAGTTCCCGACATGATGAGCGAGTTGGAAGCTGAAACTTGGCTGGAGTTCTAGTCTATTCGAGACCACAAAAACCCTAGAATATTACTTCCTTATGGACAGTTTTGAAATTTCGGCAATTCCCCCATAGAACCCATTCGTACGTCATTGTACGGCTCCTTGCAAGTTTCCAATGATTCACAATGACGTACGAATGGGCTCTATGGGGAAATTACCGAAATTTTCGAAACTGCTCATGAGGAAGTAATAATCTAGGGTTTTCTAGTCTCAGATAGACTAGAACTCGAGCCAAATTTCAGCTTCCAAGTCGCGCCTCATGTCGGGAACTTCCCTTGTTAGTTGGAAGACTGCAGACGACAAAACAAGAGCTGCATAATCAGCGAAATCAACCCGACGTGTTTCCCATGCGAGTGCTTAGACAATTTCTCTCAATGCAAGATGCTCGCTTCCGAGACACAGGTGCGCCTACGGCCGAACATGCCGCCGCTAGGTGGAGAGAAAATCCGGGACGACTATTCCAAGTTCGAGAATCGTTCCTCCTCCTCTACAACCACCGCGCCGCCGTCACCCCCAACGACGACTCAGACACCCACGACGGAGGAGCCGAACTCAGGCGTGATTACCACAGAAAGGAATATCTTTCTCGCTTTCACCGTCCTTCTCGGAATCAAATGCATTATAAGCATTTTCGCTCATCTCAAGGGATATGATGCACACTCGCTTCCTCGGAATAACTATCGATGAAGACTCGTATCTGATACTTGATAATCTCGCTCTGGTGTGGAGACGTTCTGAACGCCCGTTCGCCTGAAGCGCTCCGGTGCAACTGATGGCACGTCGACTCGACGTGCCCGAGCTTTTCACATGCACGTTCAGCCCCCCCCGGACGGCCACCAGAGAAGCTTTATTCTTGAGCTCTGGCTATGCGTCACACTCCCGCCGAATTCTCCGGCTTACATTTCTCTTAGCTGGTCGTGTGCGCTACCTAACATATTCGCTCTAGCGATGAACATTTGAATGCGTGAGAAATGGATATACGAGAATTCCCGTTTGGCCCTATTTCCTGGAGAATCTCGACTGGATCGTAACCACGGAAGTCACATTGGCTTCAGGCTGAGCTAACTAGTCCGAAAAGTGCGACGAGACATTTGATCCCAAAATGTCGGTCTGGAACCGGGTCACCGTATGAATTTGAACGGATTCTTTCCGCATCGGAGAGTTCTAGACCTATCTCCTCTCCCAATTCGAGACCGGCCCCGCGTTTTTCCTCACAATTTCGATCATTCCGAGCCAACTCTCGACCTCTCAAAAGTGATGTCCCGCTTCCACCTGAGCCCCTTGGGGGTTTTCGTTGATTCCCTGATCGCCAGCCGCGAGTTCGAGACTGTTCCGTACCGTGACCTTCGTCTGGTGAGCCGCGGCACGTGGGACTCCATGACGTTCGACGAGAGGGCCCCCTTCTGCCGCGCCGCCGCTCTGTGTCGCTCCAACCGAACCGTGAACCCCGCGCCCCTGCTACTCCCGGTACGCATTCTCGACCGTGTCCACTGCTGCCTGGGCCAGCTCGCTCTCGCTCGGCTCGGCCCGCTTGCCTCCCCCCCACCGGCCACCGAAGCTCGTCCGCCGAGTCCCCCAGCCCCTGCGCCGCCCGCCCCGAAAACCAGGGAAGTTAGCACCCAGACTGACGCCTCTGAGATGGGCCTCGGGAAAGACTACACCCTCTCCCCATATGTGTAACAAACTTCGCCTTTTTCTTTTTATTCCGCGTCCGCCGTTCTCATCGTTTCTAGATAAATTAGACTTCGAGTGGGTAAAGCCAATGAATCGGTCTCTGAAAGACCTGGCCTGACGCCGTCCTGATGAGGCAGGATCGTTTCCTCCGATCCGTTCTCTCCCCGCCCGAAAGACTGAGAACCCTACATAGTGGCCAACGCGCCTTCGACGGACTCGGGCCTTGCAATAGGCAGACGTCGCCTACTTGGATGCTCCGCGCAGTTACCGGCGATCTGATATGCGCTGTTCTTAGATACTGCAGGTATTCCTCCGTGAATCGCTTCTGGAAAGCTCGAATTTCCGATTGCTGGTGTTTCCAGCGCTTTGAGAAAACGATTGATTCTGCCGCCTCTCGCGTATTCGGCTTAATTTCATCTCCGGCAGTAGTCGGCTTCGCTCTGTGGCCATAAAGAAGATCCGCTGGCGACAATGCATTGATCTCGTTCGGGTCCAGTTGCACCGACGTGATCGGCCTTTGATTCACCAGAGATTCTATTTCCATCAAAATCGTTTCGAGTTCCCTGAACCGTAACGCGTTTCTCCCAATAATTTTTCCGGAGCGGACGTTTCACTGTTTGCACCATTCGTTCCCACCACGCACCATGGGTTGGCGAATGGGGAGTAATAAATTCCCAAATTATTTCCTGGTTGACCAGGTGCTGCTGGACCGTGGCGCATCGAACGTGTTCGTAAATCGTCTTCAGCTCCTTAGCCGCGCGAACGAACGACAACCCGTTGTCCGATAGAATTTTCGTGACCCCGCTGAACCTGCTGAGAAATCTCCGCAGCGAGAGAAGGAATCCGTACGCTGTCATGTCTGGAACTAGTTCCAGATGAACAGCTCTGGAAGCCGCGCAAACAAAAAGAATAATATATCCCTTCCGTAGGTTCCCGTTTTCGTGCTTATACGCAATCGGACCCGCGTAGTCCACTCCGCAGACGGTGTACGGTGGAGCTGTCTCCAGTCTGAAGTTCGGGATCGGCGGGACCGGTTCCATTGCTGCGTCCACCCGAAATCGCATGCAAACTTTACAGTCTTTCAGCACGCTCTTAACCGCCCGTCGCGCCGATAGTATATAGTACTTTTTCCGCAGGATGCTGAGTGTCGCTGCGACACCTCCAACATGAAAGCACTTTTTTCCGTGATAGAAACGGATTAGCAGCCTGACTGCTGCATCCTCTCCCGGTAGCACTTGAGGAAACTTCTCCGCGAAACTCAGCTCCTCGGCTCTCTCCAACCTCGAACGGATTCTCACGACTCCTTGCTCATCAACGGAAGGAGCCAATTTGAAAAGCTTGCTCTCTTTCCCCACGTCCTTGCAATCAGACATCAATTCCTCGCCAAAATGCCTTCTCTGAATATTGAGCAATATTTTTTCCGTCGCCTTGAGCGCTTCGACCGTACTGACTGGATCAGACAATGCTACCTTCGAGGCCGGATGTCGCCGATTCGCCGACCATCTGAGGATTCTTGCTATACTATTCACCGCCGTGCTCCAAGATGACAATCGTGAGCCGAAATCGAGGAAATCCGGTCTCTGCGCTGTATTGACTAACAGCACCTCGTTTTTCTCTCTTTCTCAAGCTCACTCTCGAAGTGCTCATTCAAGGAATGCTTCTCCGCTGGACGGCCTGGCATCGCTAACCATTGTGGACCCGAGTGCCACATGGAACTGAATTCCTCCTCTGTAATGTCCACTCCGCGACTCAGCAGATATGCCGGGTTCTCCGCACTCCTCACGTAGTCCCATTCCGCTGGGTCCGACAAGCTCTGGATCTCCGTGATCCTGTTCCGAATGAAGACTTTCCACCGATCTGGAGAATCCTTGATCCAGTGCAATGTCGGCGGATTATCGCACCAATAGCACATGGTATCGAGATGAAAATTGAGATACTGCTTGATTTTATTCCCGATCCGAGCCGCGAGAACTGCCCCAATCAATTCCAACTTGTGAATCGAAAATCCCGCCTTGAGCGGTACCACTCTCGCCCTGGAGGCCTCGAACGACACTCTGGCGCCGCCTCTATCGCCCGACACCTCTCTGAGGTAAACAACACACCCGAAAGCAGACAAGCTCGAATCGCAGAACACGTGCAGCTCTCTCTTAGAAATGTCGCGCGCTGTCGTGTTTAGATTCCGACGCAGACGAAAATCTCGAGCCCGTTCGAACGTTTTTCTGATCTCAAGGTATTGATCCAAGTTCGCACCCGTGAGTTTCGCATCCCAACCGACCTTCTGTTTCCAAAGTGACTGTAGCAGTGACTTCGGCTTGATCGAGACGGGTGTAATAAAACCCAGTGGATCGAAAATCTTGGCTGTGCTCTTCAATAAGGTTCGCTTTGTCGGTTCTCCGGTCCCGAGTGTCTCTATCGCTGCCGCTACGGAAATTGACAACTCGTCCGAACGCAAATTCCAGCAAAGGCCGAGGAACTTCGCCTCGGTCTGGTCGAATGATATCTGAATCTCGGGATCGTGAAGCGATTCCCTCATTTTGAGACCCAATTCCGAGCTATTCGTTGCCCATTTTCGAAGCCTGAAGCCTCCGGCGCTGAACGCTCGAAACAAGAAATCGAAACTCTCGAAACCGTCGCTCGCCGACCTCTCCGAAAAAACCAGATCATCCATATAGAAATTACGGTCGATATCCTCTAGGAATTTCTTCCTGTTGGGATGCTCTCTCATGAGCTGCTCAAGATGGAACTTGATTCCTGCGCAATGTATGAATGGGCTCGAAACTATCCCGAAGTCGAGAACCGTGCTCCAGTACTCCTTGATCGGAGCATTCGGATTTCCGCTTATGCCCGTAGGCCAGAAATATCTGAGAAACGTTCGATGATCGGGATGAATCTGATACTGATGGAACGCCGCCTCTATGTCGCATGTGATGGCTATCTCATCATGCCGAAACCGAAGCAAAACTCTGATGACATCCGGCAGTAAATTTGCCCCGCCATGTAGGACATCATTCAGTGCCGCTTCGTCCCTCCGCCTCGCTCCCGCATCTTTTACCACTCGCACCTTGAGTGCGCTCTGAGTTGGACTCCGCTTGATGACCGGAAGGATCGGCAAATGATGCACCAATTCGTTGGGTTTCCTCGGTGCCGCTAGTTCCGCATACCCGCTCTTCAGATATTTTTCCATCTCCTTATCCACCGCGTCAATAACCTCTTTTTTATGTCTATTCTTTTCGAGGAACCGTTTGAGACACCCACGCGCTATGTTCTCATTATCTCCGAGAGACCTCATATTATCCTTGAACGGCAAGCTGACCCTATATCGACCGCTCTCCAACCGCTGGATGTTGTTCTCGAAAAACTCACGTAACGCGCTCTCCGATTCGCCGCAGGACGGCGCTTCCGGAGCCTCGATGCCGAGGAGCTCCGACGACCACAGCTTTTCCAGATCCGCATTGAGTCGATCATCGCTCTCCTTTCCGGAGCTGGAGTCCGACTCGCTGAACGAGTCACGCTTCTCCCTGCCCGTCGTCGCTAACATGCTAACGACCATCGAGGCCGGGAGTCTCGTGCCCGGCTGATAGAGATTCGCAGTCACGAATGTTTTGGCCCGCCGATCTCGACTCGGAGCTTGATTGTGCCCCGCCAACACCCAACCGAAGATCGTCTTACTCGCAACGAATCTGTCATCGACGACTACTACCTCCTCACCGCACTTAACTCGCGCGAGGTTATCCACGCCGATGAGAATATCGATTTCGCGCCTTCTCACGTTTTCTCCGATGTCTGCCATGGGAGACATACCGAACGACTCGCTCGCGACTGGGAAGTCCCCTTTAGCTATCTCCGGAATGCCCGTGGCCTGGAGCCTGATCGCCGCCTTGTCGTCGAACCGACTCTGCAGCCCTATGTCGAAAACGTCGTATTTTTTGTAACTCGAGACCTCGCCGCCTATCGTGATCATTGCAAGGCACTCCTGCTGGACCGATTTCAATTTGAGTGACTGGATCACGTGCTCTGAGATATACGAACGTTCTGACCCGCTATCGATGAAGAACCTGAAGATTTTCCTACCTGTCGGCGCATTGACCCACGCGAGACCCGTCTGAAAGAATATTGGCCCCTTATCGTTCTGGCCACCCCGCGCTCGGTTTGTCTGAGTTGCGAACGAACCCGTGTTCTTTCCCGTACTATTTTCCGACTTTTGATCCGAATTCTGCTCCGGCTTCTGCTGACCACACAGAATCTCGTAATGACCTCGCCCGCACTTCTCGCACTTCACAGATACTCTACATCTTCTAGCATTGTGGTTTCTGCCAAGACATTTGAAGCAAGCCTTGCATTCTTCGCAGCGAGCCTTCCTTTCGTCGTACGTTAAGTTCTTTTTGCAAGCCCTCGATTGGTGCTTAGAACTGCCGCAAAAAACGCAGGTATGATCCACCTCTGAACGATTGCTCTTAGCGAAGAATGCTCGGCTGCTTCCTACCGGCTCTCGCTCGGATCTATCATGCTTTCTATGGCTGACATCCCTGCGAGATTGCGACGGTCCGGCCCCTGAGTCGCCACCCGGGAACCGGCATGCTCGCTTTACTGCTACCTCTCTCTCAAAGTATACCAGGAGTGTTTCTAGCTCGCTACTCGAACCGTCTGGGCGTTGCAATACCTCAAAGTGCGATCTAGTGAAATCTTCCCTCATCGTGCTCGGTAAGCACGCGAGTATGCCTGGAGCAACCGTCACCGAGAGTGACTCATACGTTTTTCCTAACGAGATTAGAGCCTTGACGTTTTGAGATAGCGTCGAAACAAATCGCGACAACTTATCGTTCAGGTGCAGGTCCCTCCACTTGTACAGCCTCTGCATCTCGAATACGTGATCCTTCTCAGCCTCCCGGGGGCATCCGAATTTCTTCTCGATAATTGCGATAGCCTCCGGATACTGTGATGCGGTGAACTCCAGATGTGCTATCTCCGACGCCAGGAGACCTACGAGAGCTTCCTTCAGAAGCGTGAATTTCTCCACTGGATCGATCCGCTTGCGGTGCACGTGAACGTCGAACAGCTGCTTCCACTCTCTGTATTTCTTGAAGTCCCCACTGAATTTCGGAAGTCGATATTTTCTGTCGAGTGCCAACCCTTGGCTACTCGTTCCCGGAGCTCCGCAGCTGGACTGCTGAACCGCTGGACGGCACGTTATCTCGTACGCGTCTTTGATCCGGAAGAATTCTTCCTCGTAGAAGAACACTCTTTCTATCGCGTCTTCGTATTGTTCGGGCGACAGCCTGCATAGGAGTGGCATAACTGCGAGATTCAACGCTTTGATTTCATCGTACGTTGCCTCAAGCACTCTCCATATTCTGGATTTATCACTGTCGGACGCCGTCTCATCCCGCAAGGCTTCCTCGAGCTCGAATATTTTCTTTGTCAGGCGATCTCTGAGCGAGCGTCTGAACGCAACTTTCGCAATTAGCTCATCGCGCTCGCCTGCCTTGCCTGCCTTGCCTGCAATTTCTTTGTGTCATCCAGCTTCCTCTCTGGGTTGCCTTCTGCCTTGCCCTCGTTACCGAGCTCCACCTTGTCCGGCATATTGCGCTCCGATCCCTTTCTTCACTGTATCGCCGCACTGAATGCCTTCCCCTGGATGGGCACCACGTTTTCGGGAGTTGCACTTTTGGAGTCTCAAACTCCCGCAATAACCACTTGATGGGTCTGGATCCCTTCTGGGAATCTTGGTTACCCCACCGCTGCCACCATATGATGCACACTCGCTTCCTCGGAATAACTATCAATGAAGACTCGTATCTGATACTTGATAATCTCGCTCTGGTGTGGAGACGTTCTGAACGCCCGTTCGCCTGAAGCACTCCGGTGCAACTGATGGCACGTCGACTCGACGTGCCCGAGCTTTTCACATGCACGTTCAGCCCCCCCCGGACGGCCACCAGAGAAGCTTTATTCTTGAGCTCTGGCTATGCGTCACAAGGGATATTCGGGGACGAACTCGAACTATTCTAGGATGCCTGACACGAATGATATCTACCGAGAAACTACCGAAGAAATATCATAATCTATAACCGTAAAACACCGCCTGAAGCAGGG